AATACATACAGAGCTTCCATGCAAAATGGCTCTGGGTCAAGAAAGCCAGGAGTCCAACAGATGAGAGCAAGTCCATACACACTGGTATTCAGGAGACAGGGAGCAGCCAGGCTCACACCAACCATCAAAACAGAAACAGCCTCGTCTCCACACTGGCATGCTTTCTGCTCCTAGAAATTCTGTCTCAGCCCAGGAAAGGGCCCTACCTAGAAAACTAACCAAATCAGGTGATACAACCTACTCAGTTCACACATGATGAAGCAGGGTTGGGGAGAAGAAGGGATTTGTCCAAAATCAGACAACGGTCAAGGACGAACTGGATGTTACTCGTTGCTTCATCCAACTGGATGTTGCTTCTGCACTCTGCCCCCAATTTTTCCATTGTACCTCTTATGTCATGAACTTTTAGGGACTCATCATCTCTGCAGAGTAAACTTCAAATTCCTGTATCTAGCACTTGTCCCAACTTAGAAGGAAGCAGGGGATGATGTGTGTGGGGGGGTGGGTAGTGAGAGTAGGAAACCAGGGTTCTAGTGCTGAGCCCTCTCTGGGCCCCGACTTCCCCAACTGTGACAGAAGAGACTTGAACCAGATGCTCCGTAAGGTCTCTTCGAAGGTCTCCAATGTCTTTGACAGCCACCCTTTATGCATACTGAAGAGGCTGGTCCCCAGGGCTAGGCCTGTGCTCATGATATTAGTTCCACCTAGAATGTACCTTTTGTTTTTCCTCCTCCACATCCTTCAAGGCACCTTGATGTTCCTGGTATTCATCTACTCAGAAAATGCTCCTTGTGAAGAAGCTAAGCACTCCCACCTCAGCATTTAGAACCTGCTCTTCCCTCCAACTAGAGGACTCCTTCCAAAGAGCCACACAAACTCGTCTCAGTCTCAGTTCAATGCCTGTTCAAATGAAACTGATGAAGATGCTTTCTCTTAACCACCTTATCCCAAGCAGCACCTCCCAGTCACTCTCCACCTTGTTCTAGCTCTCCTCGTAGTTCTTATGATACAATTTATGTTTAGTTGATCTCACCCATTGGATTGCAAGCTCCTTTAAACAAGGACATGTCTTTTTTTTTTTTAAAATTTAGAACAGCACCTGAGTAAAGCACTCAGTACCCTCAGTAAATATTTGTTGAACAAAAGAAATATAATTATTTGTAAAAGATTAAGTACCAACAAGACCAAGCTGCAGAAACTGCACTTCTAATACTACTCTGATGGCATTTCTCACATTCAGTAGCTTGTTCTGTAAGAAAGCTCTGCATAGAATTCCCAAACAGGGGTAAAAATATAAGTCAGCGAGGCTGCGAATGGCTCTGAGAGTCGTAGTCAGGCAAACAGTAAGAGATCTCTCTGGAGTCCGACTGATTCTAGTTCTGCTCTGCCACTGTGGAACCTTAATCATGTCCTTACCCTCTACAAATCAAATAGCAACCTACCTCACAGGTAATACAATGAGGATAAGGGAAAATGATTTATGTGGAAGCATCCTGTCAGGTACAAGGCATCATACCTTATAAGTAAAATCTTCCTAAAGGCCAGAAGTAGCCTCAAATTGTTAATATGGGAACCAGCTTTATTTAATGATAAACTGTCCCACAAAAAAAGTGTCCATTCTTAAAAAAAATACACACACATGCACATCTACTTATACACATATGTGTCTTAAAGGAAAAGCACAAGTTTAAAGGATACATACTGAAAATGAACCCGATTTACTAGAAAACTCTTACGCAAAATCCTGCCATATACCCCCTCTGTAATATGAAACCCTTTTTGCCAAGACTTCAGACAGACGGCCTACTGACTACTATGAAGCTGATCTTCCAGTATTACAGAATACCATGAGCCTCTTTGATGTGTCAGGTCATCTGTGGCTTCCACACATTGCTTCTGTGCTGGGTAATAAAAGCAAACCAATCAACTACTTAAGTTGTATCTCTAACAACTCCCAGCACGAGTTAGCATTACTTGTTGCATTTGGTGGAAAAGAAAACCAAGCCCTGTCTCTTCTAAAAAGCCAATCTTGATATTCAACCCACACCAATTTCTTCCTAACCTAAACATTTATTGTACTGACTGATGAGCATGCACTTTGGTGCTAGATCTTACACCATCTCTGTAGCATGCCAACATCTCCCTCGTGTGGCAAGGACTATGTCATATTTCTCATATACTCCCAAGAGAACTTAACATATAGCTTTCTTAGCACAATGAAGATGCTGAGAAATACTCATCTGAATTGAACTTAAAATGAAGCAGTATCTTGTCTCCTCAACACACAAGGAATTTAGGAACAGAGTCAAACAGAATTCTCACTTCCTAAGTTTCAAATGTAATTTATAACCTATCAAAACAACACTGATTATTCGTATCACTTATATTTTAATTTTGTTTGTAGGCAAAGCTCCATGAGGCATTTCATCCTCAACAAGGAGACGAATTGACCCACTTCCATTTTACATTCCACGATGCCCCCAAAACACTTCTCCAACAGAACCTGTAACAGTTCATTGCTCTGATATTGACAGGTCTACCCCCCAAGACAACTGTATGGTCCTCAAATACAAGAAAACTATCTAATTCATCTTTTTTTCTTATCACCTGAGCCTAACACAGTGAGACATACAGTAACACTTAACCATTTGAGAATGTCAGAAGGACAGCATGTGAAGGAGAGAATTTTAAGAAAAAAAAGTATTATAAGACTGCCAGCCAAGGTGTCCATCTACACCCCAGTAAATGTTTCATAAGAACAATATTAATTAATAATAAGAGTGAAGATAAACATTTATGTGAAACCAAAAATGCTGACAGCGTTTGATTTCAGAGCAATAAATTCAGCTTCCACTAGTTTATCATCCCAACTTGAAAGTATTTAGGTGAACTCTGTCATTCTTAAAGAAATATTTCTTCCAAAATAAACCTTTCTTGACCTTTGCTTGGCACTTTTGTTGGAAACAACAAAAAGATTACTCAAATTCTACTCCTCTGCATAAAAAAGAAAAAAGAATAAGAGGAAAATCTAAACCTCATCCTAATATAGGTGACAAAGCAACTTTTTTAACTCTGAGTAAACATTCTCAATTATACCGAAGCATTTCAAGTTGAATGTTACTGAACTTTCAAATATGCATGATAATGCTACAACCTGGCAGATAACTTCTAATTAAATGATCACCACTCTGGAATGAAGAAATATCTCCCTTGGTCAATTTTTTCAAGTAGCTACAAGCTACTAGTCAAAGTTTCAAATTAATGAGAACTGCATCTTTGCCAAGTCTGTAAAATATCTAACCACATTAATTCTTCCAACTTTCTCATGTACAGATTGGCCTCAAGATCTGGAACCATCCATGCCGCCATGAGGGGCCTGGTTACTTTACATTACATTCTTGCCCCAAAGCTGAAGAGTAAGAGGTGCTTCCGCCAGAGTCTCCTAGAGGGAGGAAGAACACTGTGGAAAGACCATGGCTTCTGGAGTTAGGCCCGAGTTTAAACCCTGACTGTACCCACCACAGAAAGTATGGCACTGGACAAGGGACTAAGTCTCTCTGAACCCTTATTTCCACATTGGTAAAACAGAGATAATTCAAATTTTCTACAACTGTTCTGGGGACTATGTTATATTACACATATAAAAAGTGACTAGCACACAATAGGGACGCGATAAATGTTAGTTTCTCTTCCTACTTTTTTCACAATCACAAAATACTTACTCAACACTCTTTATTAGTCAGAGCAACAGCTTCATTTCCTACTTTAGAGTCACTTTTAGGTCTGCTGGCAGCCAGGTCACAGTTCATTAAAACATTTACACCTGTTCAAGATGATCTATGCCAGTTTTTTATCTTTTTATTTTTTTTTAAAGATTTTATTTACTTATTTGTCAGAGAGAGAGAGAGAGAGAGAGCACAACAAGGGAGATGCAGAAGGAGAGGGAGAAGCAGGCTCCCGACTGAGCAGGGAGCCCGATGCGGGGCTCCATCCCAGGACCCTGGGATCAAGACCTGAGCCGAAGGCAGACGCTTAACCAACTGAGCCACTCAGGCGTCCCTCTATGACAGTTTTTTAAAAGAAAGAGCTCTTGATGAATAAAACAAAGCACCTTTATAAGCTTTATAAGGTCTTCTCCTATCTTTGATTGAAGAACAATTTTTTAATAGTCTAACTACTTTCAAAACCTTTTATTTTGGCTCCCACTGATATGTGGGAACTGTCACTGTCATTAGAGTTAATAACCGACACATTTATGCTGAAGAAACTCCTAGCCAGAGGACTCATTAGAAGAAATCTTGTTACAGAAACTTGGCAAAATTCTAGGGTTCCATTCAGTTTGCAAAATTTTGTGAATTCTAACAAAATGGTGTCAATTTTTCTCCTATGAATATGGGTTTGTTTTAAAGAAAAATTCTTGTGTGGATTTATTTGCTACTCTATTCTGCGTTTATTTAGCTATCATTTTAGAAAATGAGTAAACTACTATATTAGCTGCCATTTATACAGTTAAGTTACCACATGGTGCTAAATATCTCCTGAGGAAAAAACCCAGCTTGGGATTTAAGCCAGCATGACAAATGTACAATAAAACAGAGAACTTCTAGAAAGCCAAGCATTTTGTTTAGGTTTGAAGAACTCTACTAATTCAGAATTTTTTGTTTCTCTAGGATAGTCTGCCACTATTCTTATTTTGTAGTTTAGTAGAAATGTAAAAATTTCCTTCCTCTAGCCTTCTGACACATAAGAGAAGGACACTAGTTGGCATGCACTATTTTTATGTTAATAGCCAAAGCTATTTTGAGCCATTTTAGTACTATCCAATACTTATGCCAAGAAAAAAGGTTAGCATGACATTAGCAAACTAAAAAAACAAGCTCTCAGTTTTTGGTCACTCAATAAGCACATTACTTTTTAACAACCCCACAGTCTATCTTGTGGATATAAGTAATAATACAGCTCAAAAAATAAGCCATTAAATCATAATTAGAAAGTCTTACCTTTTGCGCATCTCCTGTAAAATATGCCATGGCCAGGGTGGGGAGAATCATGAACAGTGCATTATAATAGAGGAGACCATATTTTCCCAGCTCCTAGAATAGTAAATAATTAGGTGTTTCATTTGGTTCTAGCAGACAGATATACACAACCCTATACAGAATACCACTCCCACTACACACACACACACACACACCACTCCCCCACAATATAGACAGCAAATCAGCCAAATCATAGGTTTTGCAAACATTAAGAAAAAACGTAAGCTTTCAAAAGGAAGAAAAAAAAAGCAAACATATAAGACTTTAAATTTGAGATAAATTCATTGAGTGCTTAAAATCAGAGAAATAAAAATAACATCAACTGGCTACCTCAAGACAGCAAGCAGGAAAGACATTATTTTGAATATATACATGCCTTTCTATATAAACACAATCCTGAAGCCCTTTCCTTTCCAGAACTGAATCAAAAGTCATCAACTCAGTCTTGAACTTTTCAGAACCATAACAAAGTGCCATTTAAGAGAGAGAGATGGGTAGGTACCAACACACACACTCATACCTAGACCAACACAAACAGACATAACTTGCCAGTGAAGTATTTCTGAAAATGTACATGTGAAGTACAATGAAGATTATCTACAATTCCCAAAAGTATGATTCGTTGTGCTCTTGGCTATTGGGAAACAACAAAAGAACCACATACATCTTCAAACGCAGGGAGCCTATGAGAAATCTGGGTTCACTTTTGATTCACACACTTCTAAGACATTCAGCCAGAAGCAGTCACTTGAAAAAGTAGGCAAGAGTTTGACGGGGGCAGGGTAGGGATAAAGGAGTAGTGAGGATGGGGGCATCATATCTGCCTAACTTCTCTGATGTAAGATGACTGACTGATGTGAAAAGTCAAACTACCCTCTCAAAAGCAGCTTTGAGAAACTGGGAACAAATATCCAACAACAGAAAACTAGTTGGTTAGATGAGGATACAATCATACAATGAAATATTATGCAACCACTAAAAATGTTAAATAATACTGACAAGGAAAGATGTTCAGGAAACTGCACTAAATGAAAAATATAGGTTAGAAAACATTGTAAGTTGCTCTTTCATTTAAAACTGTATACAGTTAAGTGTGCACATACACATGCGCGTGCACACACTTATCCTCCAAAACTGTGCTGCTCACTTGATGGTAGAATTAAGAGAGATTTAGATTTTCTTCTTCTTGCTTTTCTATACTTTCTACTACTTCCATTATAAATATGTAGTATCTGTATGATTTCTTTAAAGTTAGAAATTTTTAAACTCAACAGCTGCATTCAGGTCTGAAATGCAGCACTGTCTTTATGCCACATGACTTAAGCTCAAACGGCCATGATTTAAGCAGTCCTGAAATCACAGGTAATAAAATTTCTGATTTATTAACAGCATCTCAGCGTGGACATACTGCCTCTCAGATAAACCAAATAACTGATTGCCAAGGCCACCACAAGCATCAATGAAAAGATGTGCTTCATTTCTAAAGCAGCAAGGAAAAGGCCACAGAAGAACAAAACAACCTTTAACAACAGATGCCCTGTCAGCCAGAGACATGATTATGATCTAGGAAGTAGAAGATGCCTACACACACACACACACACACACACCCCAACATGATTATGATCTAGGAAGTAGAGGATGCCTACACACACACACACACACACACCCATCCAGATAACTGACAAATACCAAAAACTTAAATGCCAAACTGTTCTTATTTTCTCATTTTAACTATTTTATCTTTTTCCCTGACTTCTTAAACAGAGTAGTACATCAACTAAAACTGAATTTAAGGTGTCATCATAAATATGCATTACTGTATTGTGTTCTTATATGATACTGCCCTTAATGTCATTTAATTGCTCCATTTCTGAGTACTTCCAACTTTTATAGTTTTCCTATTTCTATCTTTTGTTGTTAGCTGACCTTTTATACTGCCTCTCTGCCTATAAATAGAATTCCATCTTCTAGTATGTTGCTCCTAATCCATGAAGTATGAAAAGCAGATCAATATGAAGTTCTAATGCAAGTGAGTCATAAGTCATTTTTAAGTGAGGAACTGAAGGACTCTCCTGGGAATAAAATACTCAGAAACACGCTTTGCTTTTTTCTAGGTTCTAGGATGTACTCTAGACTGTGCTGCCCTATACAGTAGCCACTAGCCATTTGCAGTTATTTCAATCTAATTATAATTAAACTACTAATTCAGTTCCTCGGTTGTGCCAGTCACTTATCAAGGGCTCAACAGCCACATGTGACTGGTGGCTACCGTTAACGAACAGTAGAGATACATAAGCTTTCTATCAACAAAGAAAATTCTATTGGGTAGTACTGTTTTAGACAGCTGAGGCTGCTGGACAAATGGAATGTTATCCCTGGCACCTATTTCCCAAAGCAGCAAATGGGCTGAGGAAAAAAACAGAGTAAAACTAATCTCTAACTGCTCCTTTTTGTCTAACTATTTCAAAAAGATAAAAAATTTTAATAGTAGTAGCTTCCATTAAAATACAATCATCATATAAAGTCATCAAAGCAAATAAATGGAGAACAAGACATAAAGGTATATTTAAGGAAAATTTGTTGGAAACAATCTACAGTGACCCCATTTCTTCAAAGATCTTCAAAATAAACCTTCTCTGAAAATAATGAAAGCTACTGGGATGGCCATTCATTCCATGGTTCTTTCTGCAGAAGGCAAAGCCCCCTGTCAAAACAATACAAACTTGACACTAACACTACTATTGAGTAGTTGAGCATTTGTATTTATGATCTCAACTCAAAAAAATGACCTGAAGTAGTTTCAGAATTATTGCACATACAGAGCAGACAAAAACCAAGCAGGTAAGGTCATGTGACTTAGGAAACATGGGTAGGGAAATAAGATAAAGTCATGTCAGTTACAAGATTTAATTATGAGATAAAAAATATACCACTGTTCAGGAAAAACTGTGGTGGCATCTGTGAAATCTCATATGGGTCCTTACACAGGATACATCATGATAAAAAGGACAGCTCCTTCAATAACAATGCTAATATATACAGCTGAGTTCTACATAGCTGCTTATTTTTTTTTTAAAAAAAAGGTCTATTTATTTATTTAAGAGAGAGCGAATGCTTGCATCTGTGAGCAGGGGGAGGGGCGGAGGGAGAGGGAGAGAACCCCAAGCAGACACCCCGAGTGCGGAGCCCACATGGAGCTCAACCTGAAGACCCTGAGATCATGACCCAAGTTGAAACCAAGAGTCTGATGTTCAACCGATTGAGCCACATAGCTGCTTACAATAAGGCAAACTTATGCCATAATGTAGTTAAAGCAATGTGGCTCAAATTCTCTGCTTTCTGATGGTCTGGCTTGATCTAAAAATAAAATTTAGTGTGTATATATTCAAAGTATAAAGTAGTCCGCCAAACAAAAAATATCTGTAAAGCCTTTGTTTGCATGCTGTAAGTTAAGAGAAAAGGGCTGGGTATGGAAAGTTCATGTGTATGAGATCTAGGCCAAGGAACTCAGCATTGCTCCTAAAAGAGAGCAATCCTAATGCTCCCTAAAGTTTCTCATTATTTGTGGGACAGATACACAAAGTCCATTCTTGTTCTGCAGCCCCTTTCTACACTCACTTCTCCTCAAATCTGCTCAAGGGTTTCCAGATATTTCTTTCTTATCCAGGTTCCTCACCAACTCTTCTAGAACACAGCCATGAACATTTATGACACTTTTCTGTAATGAACCCACCCCCTAATTACAACCCTCTCCCAAAGTCAATAGTCACCCAATCCCTTCCAGAAAAGCTAACAATAAAATCTAACTGCTAATTAATAATTGAAAAAGTTTCTTATGTGAGTAGCAAAGTACAGGCATTTTACTCTGAGATCCCTAGGTCTTTCCCAGCTCTCCTAAGTATTCTTCTTTCCTAACAAATTGACATTATTACTCCCAACATCAGTGAACATCTCTTAAAAGATTTAGATTGCTACCTACTTTTGAATCTAATTTCTGTTTTACATATGCGCCATTTGCTGCTGTCAGGACATCATTTATCAAAATGAAAACATATCCTTCGAGATCAAATGCCAAGTCAGAGCTGTAAAACACAAGCAACACTTTAATAGCTTAAAGAACATGCATGTAATTTTAAATACGTCTGAAGTACAATAAATGGAAGAACATATTCTTATCTAGGTAAGTGAACATTAGGCATTTTATCAACTATTTGATACTTGATATAAACAATCAAGTATTTGGTTCCTGGTTATAATTTGCAATTTCACACTCAATAGGGAAGTCTTCAGATATGAGAAGAACTAATGCTTAAACACAATCATTAGCAATAATTAATTGTGTCAGTTAATAGCACTGCTCTGAATTCAAAGTCAGACAACAAGAACAAGTAACCAAATTCACCATTATAATACATCTGAAGCAGGAAGAAGGCATCAGAGCTCAATTTCAGAGAGAAGGAAACCAAAAAGATGAAGTTGTTAACATGTCATTTTCCAAGGATTCATTCACACAAAAGGCAGGTGGTACAGGTGGTTGGGTCACTGGGTGGAATTTCTGAAGTATAATTTGTAGTTAGTTCTGAGATCAAGCTACAACAGTGTCTAAGCACACAGTAGGAACTCAAATACCTAAATGATTGCTTAAAAAGCCTATGAGATATAACTAGCAGGATTAGGGAAACTGAAGTTTTCTAGTATTTAGTTGAGCACCAGGCACAAGATCAGAACTTAGTAAACTGAACAGAATAATGAAAATCTAAGAAAAGTATACCTTCAATATACTTTAGCACCCCAGCTAAAATAGTGGCCCAACATCCTGGGATTGTGCACAGATACTATGTACTTATAGCTAAACTAGTACATGGAATGAGACTTCTGAGGAACTCTACATGCCCCTGCAATTTTAGGCAGAACTAGCCCAATGTATAACCCCTCTTCCAAGCGGCCTGACAACCTTCTAACTTCAGACTCCCTTCTTCCCAATCTCTTTCCCAAGTAACAGGTTCTGATTAGACAAGGCTGATTGGATAGCAATCCTCCTCAGAAACTTTTTGCAGGCCAGGGTTGGCCCTGAGGAACTCCTGTTGTTTGGTTCAATTCTGGATCCCACCAGCTTTACGGAAATGCTTCAAAGAGGTTAGAGGCTCATATAGAATTTTTCTCTAAGAAGGCTATACTACCTAAAGGAAAAAACAGTCAGCTATATAACCAAATTCTAGTAACCACTTTTTCTTCTTTTTTTTTTTTAAAGAGTGAAATTTCACTTGGAGATTTAGGGTGGAATTTGACTTAGAATATTTCCCCCTGCCTTTACTACAGGAGTGATGAAGGTAAATGAGCCAGTCCAAGAAGCACACTGAACTCTCAAACAGAAAATCTATGTCAGGTAGAATCTGTGGCATTAGCAAACCCATATACATGTGTGCCCTGGTCTAAGAAAAATGTAGAAGGCTTCTAGCCATCACTTTAATTTTCTGAGTCTTTGGGCATACGTTTTCTCCCTCCATTTTAAAACTGAAACTTAAAAACAATGGGAAAAGCTTCAGTAATTTAATAGAATATCTAAGTCACGGCACTTTTGATGTATCTTAAGTGAGGCCAAATAAAGAAATTCTAGTATTTACTATTCCACCATAAGGCAAATAATTCATTATCATTTGCCTTTTCTGAGACACTATTTTCTTTAGCACTATGTAAAGTAAAAGAATACCACATGATTTATAAGAGCACACAGGCTCTGGAGTCAGGCATAAATTCAAATTCCAGTGCTGCCATTTATTAGCTGTGTAACCTTGACCAAGTTTCTGAACTTAGGTTTTAGTTTCCTCAACTAAAAATAGGAAAATTATACCCACATCTTTCAGAGGTGTTGTAAAGAATGCATAAATACATGTAAAATCCCAAACATATTGTGTGGCATATGGTATGTGCTCAATAAGTAGAAGAATCAGATTTTGCCAGCCTTGACCTTAATATGGCCAGAAAGATTTAACTTCCCAGAGAGTCTTTTGGATGCTTTTCAAAGACATGATTCTTACTTAGCCTATACAAAATTCTTTTTTATTGGTAATTATTATCAATAACTATTGATAATTTCTAATGTGGTCTTAATATGTTCTTACCTGGCAGCTACAAAGGCTCCAATAATCATTGCAAATACGGTCATCTTAATACCCCAAGAAAAAGTCTTCCTACAAAATAAAATAATTAAAAAGTGCATACATGTGCCTTTAGTTATTCACAGATTCATTCTGCAACGTAGGCAAAAAAAAATACGTTTTCCTTAAAAAAGCTATAAACAGTCTTTTTTTTTTTTTTTTTTAAGATTTTATTTATTTATTTGACAGAGAGAGGGAACACCAGCAGGGGGAGTGGGAGAGGGAGAAGCAGGCTCCCCACCGAGCAGGGAGCCCAATGCAGGGCTCGATCCCAGGACCCTGGGACCATAACCTGAGCCAAAGGCAAATGCTTAATGAGTGAGCCACCCAGGCGCCCCTAACCAGTCATATTTTAAATGTTTCCAAGGAATTGGGTATTTCAAAGAATCCCTTTGATGAAGCAAAAATTACACAAAAAGAGTATATTCATTTTTTTCATATTCTTATCTTTGCTATCATTATTGAGCTTGAATTTTTGCAAATCAGAATTTCTTTAAGTGGAAAAAGGTCACACCATTTGTAGTAAAAGTAGCCAAGACAGGAACACTATTTAAAACCTATACTGATGTTTCTGACCCAGCGTCATTCAGTGGCAACAGTAGGTATAGGAATTCTTGAAAGTGTATCTCTTGTTCAGACAGATTCCAACTCCAATTCATAATCTCCCCAACTATTGATCCCATAAACTATCAACTCCTATAGCAAAGGAAGAAAGTGCTTAAACTTCTCAAAAGATAAAGGAGAAACAAGACAAGTAATTTTACTATCTCATATATGCTGGGCCCCTCTTAAAGAGGGCCGAAGTCTGTTAAAGACTAGATATATTAGAAATTTAGCTCACTTGAGTAAAACTCCTTCAGCAAACATTGTAAACAGGATGGAGAACCTTCTCAGAACTGTAAACATTGGCAAGCTGCAGAAAATTTAAAAAAGGGAAAAATATAATTAGGTAAAAATACAGTTTAGCAATTGACTTTTTTAACTAAGACTCTCCAAATAAGTACCTTAAAATAATACTAATCTCTTCCTTCCATTATGCTGATTAATTCCATTCCATATTGGTTAATCTGTGGTTAAATTAAACCTTTATTTCTCTCTAGAAGTAATTCTTATTTGAAAGCCTGAGTTGCTTTTATAAAACTACTAGAAGTGAGAAACATCAAGCTACCTATAAAAAATGGTAGAGATCACATATCTATTATCAAAGGCTAGTAACAGCCACTTTTTAATTTTACGCTACTTATTATACAAACACCCTGAATAGTAACCAGGTTAGTTTTTAAAAGAAAAAGACCTCTTTCTTCCTTCTTTAGTAGACTGAACTTATTTCCCACCCACGCTCCACAAAACAACGTCTCCAACCCTCCAAACAGCATCTATGATAATCTCACCCCATGAAATACTCCTTGATTGTCCTTTTGTGGAAGTACTTTTGTCTTCCTCTAAATTACCAGAGCACTTTGCTAGCACTAGTCAAACACACAGCCTCTTGCAATATAGTTATTTCTGAATATATCCCATTTCACTCCAAAGTGCCTTACACTTGGCTAGCAACCAAAGATAGGGTGTGAATGAATGGATGGATAGATGGATGGCAATGGATGAAAAAGAGCAAATTCTATACAAGCAGCACTTTGCAGCAGGTCTACATTTCTTTCCAACTGGGTAATGAGATGGAAAAGGATGCCCCACCCATGATAAATTTGACTGCCATGAACCCTGCCCCAGAGATACCATCATGGTCGCTCTTTCACATTTCTTGGGTCTGAAGAAAAAGGAAATGAGAAACACTTTGTCTCTGATTTTCAGAGATCTCCCCATTCTGTTTTACAATCATCTAATGTGCCAGGGGGTTAGCTTCAGTGTAAGTAGTGAAACCATGGATTTCTGTTAAATGCCTTCTCCATGTGTATAATTTTAATATCACATACACCTAATACATACTACACTCCTCAAGTGGAGAAGCCAAGAATTAAGAGGTTAGAGGATAATAAAACGGTATTGTCGCAGAGCAGAGAACTACTGCTTCTTTCTAAAAGTGAATATGCTGCCTCTAAGGTCATGGGTATGATATTAATCATATTTGTTCAGAGTTCCATCTGATGTTACTTTAACTACCTCATGTTAAAAGAAAAACTACAAAAGTTCTCATAACCACTCTCTGATTTTGCTTACAGAATTTGCCCAAAATATAATATTTATAAATTGTGTTAAAGAATTGAAATCCCAGGACCTCTTCACTACTATAGGTCTGGAAAAATAATGAAAATCTCCTATAACAGCATTTTATAACATTTTAAGACTTCTATTATCAAAGTGAGGGGGGGGAAACCCAAAACAAACAAAAACTCTTTCTTTTCAAACTTAAAGTATTTAAACTAAAACCTCTGGTGTAATCTTATTTAGTAACAGAAGCTTTCTGGTTCTTTCATTTTTTTTTCCAGAATCAATAACAATGTGTTAAATATTTGACATTCAAGTACAGTTTTAAGAATACATCATATTAACCTCACTAGTAAAATAAAGTTATCCATACTTCAGTTTCTTTGTGCTGAACAGTCCCGTGATTTGGTTCCCAAAATATAGTAGAGGTAGTGGAAACGTCTAGAAAATTTAAAAAGGGATAACAAAGCTCAATAATAAAGACAGCTAAAACAAGGTCCTTTCAAATAGAAACAGTTTTGTTTACATGATCAAATTCTTTCCACTTAAAACATAAGATTAGAACTCATACACAATTTTGGCCCCCATGAAGAACCCAAAAAACATTATTCCTGGATAACAGCACTATATGGCAAAGAGAGGGAAGAATGGAGAAGAAAAAAGAAACAGAAATATGAATATGATCAAACCACATGAGACAGAAACATCATTTGCTTTAAAATATGATAATGTATTAGCCCATGGCTCTAATATCAGCAGAAAAAGGAAAGGCATTTCTTCTTCACTTGGAGTCAAGCAGAGGCAGACAGAATAGTGAGAAAATAAACCCAAAGAATAATGAATGTAGGATACACCAGCTAGATTAGATGGATGCAGAAAATGCAAAACAGCTGTGCTCCCAACAAGTGTTCATTAATTAAAAAACACAAGAATTCTGGGGGCCTTTTCCCTTAATTTTAAGGAGTTGGTAGGACTTTTTAAAAACACATTACTACATTTATTCTTTACCTTCATTATACCTACTCTGGGCGATATCAAGATTGCCATTTTTAAATATGCAGAGGACTGATAAAAATATATAGTGACTTGTTTTCAGAAAATAAGGTGTTTTTTGTTTGTTTGTTTGGTTTGGTTTTTTTACCTTTCGAGGTACATTTCTGTCAAAGTCAGGAAACTTGACTACTCTGAGCGCCTTTCCCACCCAGAGAACTGCCACTGTGGCCACCATCTGCAAACAGAGAACACAGATTCACTGTTCTACATATAAAGACACACACAGAAGTTCTAACGACATAAACCACGTAATGCCGAAGATTCCAACTAACCTGGCCAAGTCCAACACATAGTGAGGAGGGAAATCTACAAAAAAGGTAGAGAGAGAGAGAAAAAAAAAAATACACGGTCAGAAAAACCCAAACGCAGCTCTGTGAATTCAATTTGCACATCTGCAACCTTAAAATATATTTTGAAACAAACACCAACGTCTGCGCCTTATCCAAACGAAAATGTGAGAAAAAATCCCTGCTGGCCGTCCGGCAACACCGCTGATTTTGTAGCCTCGGGCGGCCACTTGCCTCATCTTGTCCGAGTCCACAATTTCAGTCAGCTGCCTGCAACGCGTTGAAGACACAGGTCTCCTCAACGGCTTCCCATCTTTAAAACAAACATGCTTCTGCTTCTGCCTCAGGGTCCCAGTGACAGCAGCAGAATCGTCTTAAATGAGCTTAAGGATGCGCACGTCCCCCGAGACCGTCAGCGAACTCGGGGACCCTGAAGCCCCGGACCCCGGCCCAGGCTGCAGGGAAGGGAGGGCATCCCTCGCTCTGCTCCCAGCCTGGCATGCACAAGAGCCAAAAGTCACAAAGCAACTCCGCTCCATCGATCTGAAGGGCAAGGTTTCCAGGGTGCTGCTCGGCGGGCGCTTTCCCACCGCGGTCGAGACGTGCGCGGGGCGGTCCAGAGCTCCGCGCCCGGAGCTGGACCCGCACCCCGGGCCCGCGCGCCAAGCCGGCCCCGCCGCCCGGGCCGCTCATTCACCGCCCGCCCTCCCCAGCTCCCGCCCAACTTTGTTCAGCTTTAACTTTAGCAGCATTAGTCCAGGGAGCCGCGCGCTCCTCCCCACGGCCTCGGCCGCCGCCGCCGCCGCCCCTGCCCTACCTGTAATTGGTGAGCACGCTCTTGTTGACCACCACGATCAGGAAGGAGCTCACGCCGTAAAAACCAGCGGCCAGCAGCTTCAGGAACACCGTCAGCGTTTCGGCCGACGCCATCCCCAGCTCCTCCTCATGTCTGTGTGTGGAGGATTTCGCGGGGGCTTCTCCTTTAACCCGGGCATGCTGACGTCTATGAACTTCCGCCATGGCTGCGGCGGCGGCGGCAGGCGGGCCTGGCGGTGGGGCCGAGCGGCGCGGGGGGCCTGCTCCCAGGGGACTTGCGGGGCCCTGGCCGGTGGACAGTGCCGGCTGCGCCCTCGCCGCCTCGGCTCCCCAAACGGTCGCCGCCCGTCCCCGCCCAGGGGCAGGAACGCCGGGTTTCACACCCTTGGGGACTTTGCTCGGGCATTATGCAACGCAGGGTCAGAGGGTAGGGGCCGCGCCGGGATTGGCCTAGGCATGGGTTGGAGAGGGCCTGGAGAAGGGGCAGCGGCGACCCTGAGTTCGGGCGCAGAGGGAGAACAGGCCAAGGGGGAAACCACTCGGGGACACCGGAGCGCCAGGCGACAAAGCACAGCGACAGAACGCCGCTGCCGTCTCGCGCCTGCGCGCGAGTCTGCGCGGGGTCTCTCTGCGGCCGCGTTTCTAAAGCCGGGGAGGCTGGCGGCCCGGGGCCCAGAAGCCGTATTCTCCAGATAACAGCCGCAACAAAAGTACAGACCATCCTCCCCTCGGTAACAGGTGGCTGGCTAAGTAGTTCTCTGTGGTGGGAGCGTCTAGACTCACTTTGAATGCTCTTTTGGTCTCTCTTTCAGAAGATCAAAGTCCTTCAAAAGTATCATGGGGATAAAAGGAAACACTCAACAAACATTTCATTCTGCATTCCCTCAGGCTTCTTACATTTTCTGAACCCAGAAAACACCAAACAATACTTTCTTTGCAGATCAAGGGAAAACTTGCTTAAGAAAAATGTAGACACAACTAAAAAAGTAGTAAGATAATCAAGCAACTTGGGGATTGGTGACAGAGCAAGGGCTTGGGAGCCGAGTTCCGATTCTAGGATTCCTAGAAATGCCCCCTTACTAACCGCGTGCTCTTGGATCAATTAGTTGACCTCTCTGGGCCCGCATCTCTTTATCTCTATGGATGTAAAACTAGCGCAGAGCTAGTTTTCAGTAAGTGGCAGCCATTATTACATAACAGAAACAAATCATTATTATCAGCTTGAGCAAAGAAATGACATACCTAATTTTAATGTCAAAAAAGAAAAAAGAATTGAATTTGAATTATTTATCTATTTTGTCTATCGTTTTTATTTCTTTTATCCCATATTTTGTAATTGTGGTAAAGTATACATAACATAAAATTTACCATTTCAACCTTTTTTATTATGGTAAAATATGCTTAGTATAAAATTTATCATTTTACCACTGAGTGTACAATTCGGCGGCACTGAGTACATTCATTGTTGTGCAACTCACCACTACCCATGTCCAGAACTTTTGCATCATCTCTAACTGAAATTGTGTAGCCACTAAACAGTCATTCCCAATCCTCCTCGCCCCAAAATCTAGTAACCCTATTCTTTCTGTCTCTATGAATTTGACTATTCTGGGTACCTCATGTAAGTGGAATCATACGGTGTTTGTCCTTTTGTGTCTGACATTTCACTTAGCATAATGCTTTCAAGGTTCATCCGCTTTTAGGATACGTCAGAATTTCCTTCCTTCTTAAGGCTAGATAATACTCCATTCTGTGTATATCTTTTGACCATATCTTTTGAGTTTTTCCGCGAACACCTTTGTTCTTTGAATATTCCTTAGGAAACACTGGTACACGGAATGAAGTTCTTAACATGGCCCACAAGAACTTAGGGGATGTTCCTTCTGCCCACATCTCCAGAGGCACTCCTCACATTTCCTTCCATAAGCTGCAACTAAATTAAACTATGCCCAGTCCCGTGAAGAACAATGTGGGTTCCTGCCTCTATGTCTTTACTCCCATTTTTCCCTCCTTCTGGGATGCTTTTTCTCTCCCTCCTCTCCCCTGTGTCCTGGAGAACTCTTACTTTTCTTTTGTTATTTAGGCAAAGCATTACCTCCTCTTTGGGTACCTTCTTTCACACTTCCCCTCCATGCCCTCCACAGAATTGATATCTCTCCTTTGTGCCCCTCCCACCCCATCCTTGTACATCCCCATTATAGAAGTTCTGGGATTACATGTTTATATGTCAGTCTGTTCCAGTAGACAGTGAGCTCCCTAAAGACAAGGCAGGGACACCTAGCACAGTTTAAATGTTTTGCTGAATGAATAACTTTTTAACAACGAGGAAAAATGAGCAGACGTCTTCCTTAATTGCTAGCAGCAGAAGAAAAATAACTAGAAAGTTATATTTTGGGGGAAAATTACTATAAAAATAATATCCCTCATAACAAAAGCAAACAAGCAAAATAAACTTGTATCATATAAAAAGTATCTTCCCCTCTTCCTCTTCTACCAACTCTTTAAAGAAAGCAACTGCTAACAGTTTAGAGATTGTATTTAGTGCCATGTTCCATACACATACGAATACATATGTATGTACGTATCCATATCCATACACATGTATACTTACACACATGGATTTTTATGCATTTTTTAACATACATGGAATAGAACCAGGTAAGAACACTGAGCCTCAAGCCAGACACTGCCCCGACACTAATTTTGTGACCTTGGGCAAGTTACTTGACAATAATGTGCCTCAGTTCCCTTATCCATAGGATGAGGATTTCAATAACACCCACTTCACAGGGTTGTGGTGAGAATTGAATGAGTTAATAAAGGTAAAATACTTAGAACATAGTACATACCTCACAAGTGTTTATAATAATAATAATTACAATTATCGTTATTATTTTTATGCAAACTTTCTGTTTTCACTTAATATTCTTCTAAAGATCTTTCTGTGGCAGTAGAGAAATTCTACCGCATTCTTTTTAACAGCTGCCGAAAATTCCATTAGCTAGATGCATCATAATTCATGTAACCTTTCCCATGGACATTTAGGTTGTTGCCAGTTTTTTGGTTTATAAACAATGAAGCTTTGATTATCCTTGTCCATTCAACTTTGTAGAGGTATAAGTTTCTAGAGGTGGAATTGTTTAATTAAAGGCTTTTTTTTCATTAATAGCATTAACAAATTTATCTCCAAAGAGATTGTACCAATTTTGTATTCTCACTAACACTGTATAAAAATGAAACCCTCTTTTATAAAGTCAGATGGCAGCAATGGAGACCACTGAAAGGGGCCACGTGGTTCAAGTACCTCCCAGTAGAGGGATGAAATGCCAGGTACACATTTCTGCAATAAATCAATTGCAATTACACAAAATTAAATGAAAATTAATCTCCTAAAAGTATTAATTCAAGAAGGTGCTGTTGTTTTTCTCAGCATGATTATGTTATTTATTAATAAATATTTGTTTAGAACTACCATACACAGGCCAAGAACTATATTGGATTTTCTCAACACCAGGAATGCTTTATGTCCTCAGTAAAGTGCTGTGAAGTCTAATGGAGTCAAGCATTTGTATCAGGTGCGCATAGAAATAGGTGCTCACGCTCTAGTTGGTTTTTTTTTTTTCAATAGGTATTTAGATTTTTTGGTACTTTTAGGTATTTCAGGTGCTCAGACCTGTTTCCTAACCTCAGTAATATTAATCACAGAACTATATCTGGGAGATTTACATATTATTTATAAAAATGAATAAAGGTAGAAACATCTAAAATTGTACAAGATTGGAAAAACGATTTAAATGTTCTCATTAGTATACAAGTCTACTCTATTTGGAAATGTCAACATTGCAGCTTGACACATTTTATATTTTGCCAGGTGGAATTACTGGCAGAAAAAATCTTTTTTGTAATTAAATCATGTCTTTTTATCAAAACCTTGCTTTAGCCATCATGTTTCTCCACAAGGGAAAATTAATTCTGTATACTATTTATTAAATTAATTCATGTTATTTCTTTTCCCTGAACTTCTCCCTTTGCCTTAGCTCACTTGCTCTTCTTTTTTAAAGATTTTATTTATTTATTTATTTATTTATTAGAGAGCGAGCGAGAGAGAAATAGCATGAGAGGGGAGAGGGTCAGAGGGAGAAGCAGGCTCCCCGCTGAGCCGGGAGCCCGATGCAGGGTTCTATGCAGAGCTCGATCCTAGGACTCCGGGATCATGATCTGAGCCGAAGGCAGTCGCTTAACCAACTGAGCGACCCAGCCACCCTCACTTGCTCTTCTTATAGTGGAATTTATGTAGGCTTTTTTGGTGTCTACCTCCATTTATCAATTTCTTATTTCACTGCTTGCCTAGATCATCCTAGTGACCTGCCATGTTGCACCACTGATTATTTTACAGCCACGGAGCAAAGGTCATGTGTGTTTCCTATTTGAATAATGCCCTGAAAATTCCGAGACCTAAAAAGCATGGAAGGAGCATGGAGCTTCTCTGCAATGCCTTATACTTCTCTATGTTGGGTTGGAAGGAATGAACTTATTGATTACTGATGGTGAGCCTGGCCGTGTGCTATTGTAATTTATTATTTTATTTCATCATTACTACTCTAGGAAGTAGGTATGGTAAAACAACTTACAAACAGGAAAACAAAGGCCAAGAGGGAGTCTTAGACATGCCCGGAGTCCTACAGTTCCAAGTGACTGTACACAGATTTGGCCCCAGTATACTGAGCATTTAGTCTGTGCTCCTAAACTACACAGTCCTGTCTCATTTGGGGTAGGTGAACAAACTTGCTTTTTTTTTTTTTTATTAAGATTTTATTTATTTATTTGAGACAGAGAGAATGAGAGAGAGAGAGCACATGAGAGGGGGGAGGGTCAGAGGGAGAAGCAGGCTCCCTGCCGAGCAGGGAGCCCGATGCGGGACTCGATCCAGGGACTCCAGGATCATGACCTGAGCCGAAGGCAGTCGCTTAACCAACTGAGCCACCCAGGCGCCCGAACAAACTTGCTTTTATAAGAAGTCTGGCAATACCATTTCCTCCTTCAATTACCAAGTTTAGTGTTTATCAACTGTATGAAGAAGAGTAACTAGGATAAAGAAATGAAAAATTATTGAAGTCATAGTCAATCATGACCCATTCACAAATACCATACCAGTCATCAAATTAGGCATTGAAAATACAAAGACATTTCAAACTCAATGTGTTTACAACTGAAATCCATACAAATCCTTCATAAATCGGCTGCTTTGAGATCCTCCTATCTCAGTAAACTTGGCCTTACTATCCACTGATTGACCGTGGTTCTACCCTTTCTATAACCACCCCCCTCACTCTTCAACCCACCCCAAACTACTTTTATTATCTCCCCACATGAGTGTTAATTGGCTTTGGTAAAAATACTACATGTAGAACATTAACTACAACTGAAGTCACCTCCTGATTAAGTTTATGATCATCCTCAGATATTTGTCAAGATCTGCCTTCTGCTTTGGACAAATAGGCCACTTAAGTGAGAATGTGATAGGTATCACCACTCATGCATCTTTCCAAGTCTTGGTGATGGACACTAATC